GGTGGGGGGGGGGGGGGGGGTGACTAGCAACTCCTGCAAGGAGATTTCCCTACTGACGTCTTGGTGCAAAATAATTAGCCAGTAGAGAACACTATGCTTCACTTTGACATCATCAAGCAGTAAACGAAAAACATCTGCCCTTATTTCTGCATGAATTTCTATTTGTGAACTTCTCATATGTATCATGAATATACTAAAAAGAAAAGTGCATTACGCTGACCGTGCACAAACAAACCTTTCATCCAATATGATCAATGATCTGATATTTCCCAATCACCAGTTTATTATACTGTATCAAATATGGCATTTTTCCTCACTCTAACCTCTTGGTTCTAAAGACAGATTGGCATCTACAGATTTACTCTGCAGTACCTTTGAGGCAAACATACAAAGGCAATTCTGTTGACGGCAATAAAGCAGACCATACACAGCAATATTTTCATTTGGCCAATTCAACTACTTTTACCATTTGCAACAGGAAAGCCATCTAACTGGATTTAGCTAAATTAAAACCTAACTCGCCTATGAGACACAATGTTGTTCAAATAACAAGTTAAAGTCTGTAGATGGCCAGTTTTAGCCTCTCAATGGATAGAAATCCTCTAGACATGCCTCTTTGGTTTATGTCAAAGATTATCATTGTTAAAGATGGTCTTCATTGCATTATATAAACTATCTGTCCACTGATGGCCAACTTAATACCTAGCAAGTAAAGATGTTCCGCTGACCAAAACAAAAGATAAAGAGGCCTGGAATCATCTTTTTTTTTTTTCTCTGGTAGTGTATACTGTGCTTTAGGACCTTTTTTTTAATCATTTCACAGCAATGAATATCAGATAAAGCATGTTGATAACAAGTGATAACACAGTGACATTCAACATAAATGTGATAGGTGGGTTGGGGTGCTGGTACTCGGAAACCACAGGTCAGCAATCTAACATTGGCTAGCCATGCTAATAGGTAATAGGTGAAAGGCTATAAGGAAAACATATGCTAATAATCCTTAATTGTGCAAAGAAGCTCCAATGTTTATCATATATTACATTGCTGGCTCCTCTGACACTAAAGGCATAGCTAGGTACTTGGGTGTCGGTGAATACAAATAACACAATTCTCTACATACAGTATATATCAGACACACAGTAGGTGAGGTGAGTATCTCATGCCTAAGCACCTGAACAGAAGCTGGGTGAGAAGTGGCAGCAAGGGTGCAAAAGGACCAAGAGCAGTGAAAGAGGATGAGAGGGGATTGACAAGTTCTTCAAAAGATACTTCACCCCATACTGCGCTTCTTATCCAGGATGTGGGGGACTGGGGAGAAGAAATAGCAAGAAAAATGAAAACTCTGGAACTACTGAGAAGAGCGACAAGGTGGAGAGGACCTGTAGTTTGCGAACACAGAGGGATGGACACTGGACATAGTACCCTCTGACCTTTGTGGTAACCATTCTACATCCACACATGTGTGTATGTGTGTATATATATATACACATATATATATATATATATATATA